GAAGGGTTTTCTTAATCATTTTGGCTTTTTACGTAAAGCAAGTACCGGTAATCAATAAGGTACAACACACACACACGCCCACACACACTACAGCAGAGTAAGAACTCATGCTGTGTGGATCCAATTCTTTAACTTCTAAATTAAAAGCATAAAAGGGAAAGGTGCTGATGCCCAATTAATGCACAGGTTTGGAGTGTTGGAGTGTTGGACAGATGTCTTTCTTAAAAATAGATAAGTTGCAAAATATTTGATACCACAGAAGAATCCTACTGCTTTGAGGAAGCTTATTCTGTCATCAGAATAAGAGTGGAAATAGAGCAAACTGAGTCTCAAAAGGTCCCTAGGATGAAACCAGCTGGGAATGAGTAAAAGTCTGTAGAAACAAAGAGGGTTCAAACTAAACAGCTACTGAAATCAAGCTAAAACTCACACAGCCTCAGGAAGTCACCATGTTGTTTTCCAACATGTCTTCTCATATGGATCAAACAGCACTGGCTCCTACTGCATATTGGAAAGTAAGAAGGTTCCATCACACTGCCTTGGGGAACACAAGGTATGGGCACATTCACAGGGATTTAATCAAACTCTAGATTGTTCACCATGAAAGTCCAGTTGGTTTGTAATATGTTTTGACATATGATGAGATTATGATGTCATCAGTTTAAATCAGAGGTGACCAGACTTTTTGCTCCAGAGGCCAAATCTGTCTAATTAAATTAAATATACAAAAACTTAGTTTATTGTAACTTTTTTGTTTGTTTTGTTTTACATACTCAATAATAAATAATTTTTTATAAAATCTGTGTACCATTAGAAATCCAAAACAAAAGCGCTGTGGACTGTTGCTTTATTTTCACATTTTTGGATTCATCAATTTTCTATTTTGAGGGCTAAACTTGTACAATTCTTGACTTGTGGTCTGGGACCAAACATTTATCATTTCAAGGGCCATAACTGGAACCTGGGCCACTCTCTGAATATGGTCTGTGTAACAACCAAACCTTTTGGAGGTACCATATGATCATTTGATGCATGGAATGCTGATTTAAAATGATGAACTAGAATCTCAATTTCTGTAAGCATTTAGTTTTTGAATCACAATGCCACATTCTGCTATGAAATGAATATACAGTATATGATCAAGTTTAAAGCATTTTTATTCCTTGTTTAAAGATTTAGTTTTCTTTCCAGCAAAGTTATATAAACAAATAAAAACATATTGATGGTTTTGCTCTTTTTGGATAGTTTGGTAAGTTGAAGATTAAACAAGTTGAAAAAAGTGTTGATCTAACAGTTGAATTCATGCAGAGATGTCATGTGTTGATGCTCTCTGGGTTTTCTTCAGGTTTTGTCTCACAGCAAGGTAATGAGAGATCCAAACTGACAGAATCCATAACGGCTGCTGATCTGGTTTGTTGCCTTGTGATGATCTAGTGAGGCTAACGGGTGTAAAAAAAGAACCAACAGATGGATGGAATGTCAAGAGCAAAAAACTACTACATTTAATGACTTTGTTAAGTAAGAAAATGATGCAGTTTGATTTCTAGATGCGTATCGATCACAGAAGGAAGTGATCTGAAAGAGAACCAAATTAAAGTTTCTGTTCTACATGAAAAATCCATGAAAACGATTCACAGAAATCTCCATTAAAACATGAAATTGCAGTTACTTAAAAAGTGGAGGTTAGATTTGGCCATTGTGGCTCTCTGACCAGGGTGCCATTCCATCAGAGGGCAGCAGGAGCAACACAGACATCCGCTAACGGTGAGCAGATATTGTTTAAAATCCACTTTCTGCAACATGAATTTGATAAAACAAAAACAAAAATGCATTTTAATTATTAATTAATTAGATAGAATTAGATGGAGAAATGTCCAGATGTATGAAAATTCAGCTGATTTAATCAAATGTGTAACTATTACTTTAAGTGTGAAAATAAAAATAGAGCAATTCTTAGTATTTTCAGAAATGTGGTTAAAATCTCATCTGTGTTTATTAATTGGTTTCTGCATATGGAGAAGGAAAGCATTACCCAGGGTTCCATTTATGCCAGACACCCCCCTGGTGATACTTCCGGTCCAGAGACATAAGGACGTTTAAAGGCGAACCATTGCGGAGTTATGCAGACCTGTTTGCTGAACTGCTACTCTCCCAAAGTATCAGTATCACTTTATGTCCTGGAAAACTCCCAGAAGGCATCTACGCAAAGTGAACCATGTTACGAATTCACTCCAACCCCCTAAAAATACACACAAACACGCACACCTGTCTGAGCGCCGATAAGACGTCAAACACCGCTGCTCCAAATGTGTTTGCACACCGGTGTCGGTTGACTGCACTTCCTCATTGAACGACTTGAACAATTTATTCTGACGCGCAGCTGAATCCGAGGGGGAATTTAGATTGAGATTGAAAAAAAGAACGAGTCAGACATGACCTGAAAGCCTTCAGGGAGAGAACCGAGTGTGGAGGGGGGATGCGGGTCTGAGGGGGGACCTGGAGATACATGAGCCTGTCACTCAACATCACAGCATCAGAACACGATGGACAATCATTAACAGGACTAATGAACACAGAAGGGCCACGCTGCAGTACAGAACAAGCTCTCGTTTAAATCCACCGTGGGAGAATTTCATTAGTTCTGCTACGGCCCTGATAAAGGCGCTGATCGGAGAGCAGGCCGCCTGCACCTAGCAGGACTGAGGAGGACAAACTGAAAACACCAAGCAGATGGAGCTTGATGTTTTTCTTCAATTTTTTAATTTAATTTTTCAGAAAAAAAATTATTTAAAAAAATCCAATGAGATAATAAACAGGGAATGATGGTGAATCACAAAGTTAGACTAGTGAACTGTTTCAATATCACTGACCCTGTTACCATTACACTGCACAGCAGATCACTTTCTGAAATTCAGCTGAACATAAACTCTGCCTGATGACCAAACACAACTACGAGAGATATTTATTATATCATTATTTATTCAGATAAAATCCCACAGAGAATAGAATTTTTTTTTCTTTACTAAAAAAATTCATCTCAATCACACAAAAAGTGGAAAGAAAATCAATTAAATTTAAAAAGCTTTTCTTTGTTTTTTTTTCTTGAAGCAAATTTGTCTTTTAAAAACCAATCAGCAACATCACATATGTCCAGTTTTCAGTTCGTCTTAAAGCATTTCAGTTCAACAAATATTTGGCCGTAGCAGGTAATGTGTCCAAATGCAGCACAGCTGAAAGATCCTCTCTGATCCTGTGTGATTTTTCTGATAAAATAATCAATAAGCCCCACACCACTCCTCCAGAGCCCATCTGAGCCCGACAAACTGGCTTTGTGTTTTTTCTTTTTTTTTTTTTTTGTAAGAAACTATTTCACTATTTTGTTTCCTTAAGATTTTAAAAACTATCCAGCCTCCTCAAATTATGAGCCTGAATATTTGCTCATATTTTCTGCATCTGGATAATTGCAGTGAATTTGCACCAGCAGCGTCTACCTGTAAAACTGTCCACGCAGACTGCAATGTGAAATTACAAAATGGTTTCTGCAGCTTGTACCACACATATTAAATATGATATAATAGCCATTTACAGCTCATTGTTTTGTTTAGTTTTTTTGATTTTTGGGGGGTATAGATATATATATATATATATATATATATATATATATATATATATATATATATATATATATATATATATATATATATATATATATATATATATATATATATATATATATATATATATATATATATATATATATATATATATATATATATATATATATTGCTATTAATTTCTTCCAGATTTTGAAGCCTGGAACAAACACAGACATGGAGATGAACTCAACAAGCTGGTCCTCAGGAGCACGCACACACCCACAACAAATTGATCTCATTTTATTCCAACAAGACGCAGCATTTCAGATAAAAAAACTTTTGTTAAATGGATCTGAAATTGTCAAGAAGTGCAGCTGAACATGTAGTACAAATGAAATCGCCAGGAGATCCAGCTTGTTGTTCAGATGAGATAAAAGGCCCCGCTCTCTGGGAGAAAACAAGAGTCTCATTGAGACCTTTAATCAGACACAATTGGAACTGAATTAAAATATAATAAAGGAAACTCACTACTGAAAAGCTTCGAAAAAATTCCCAGATGTTTTACTCTATCCATGTTCCCTCTGGAGAGGAAGAAAGAAGAAAGGATTTCCAGAGCAAAGAGGATAAAATCTAGAACAGGAAACAGTAAATCTTTTTTTTCTATAGCTTGGACAATATTCTCTTATGGAAACTATCCATAAAAATATTTTATTACTTCTCCTGAAGGTCTTAGAGATTTTGCTTGTCTTACTTTGAAATCTGCAGATTTCAAAGTAATCTGCAGAAAAAAGGGAGAAAATATGTTTACACTCCTTTATAATCAAAGTTACAGATAACTTATGCATGATAATATATATATATATATATATATATATATATATATAATATATATATATATATATATATATATATATATATATATATATATATATATATATAATAAATTAATATTTTTTATGTTTCTTTTTTCTTTATATAAAATGCTACTGGTGTAATTAATGTTCATCCAGCTGGGTGAACTGGGTGAACTGGGAGGAACTGGGAGGAGCACTCCCTCCCAGTAACCCTGACAGATTGACCGTTTGATCAGTGAGGAGCTTTCAGCTGGAAGGGCGTAGCCTAGTGGCGTTTTATGTAAATATATTTACAGTCTGTCTCCCACTAAACCACAACCAGAAACTAACATCTAAAATACATTCACGTTTTTGATCTGAAATTTCCTGCGGGAAAGTTCCACCTATTGTCCCTCTGAGGACAGAGTCCAGAAAAAGAGTCCAGAATGAAGTTTGTATCAGAAAACAAGAAGACAAGTGAAGTTTACTTTCAGTGATCATGTCTGGTAAAGTTGTAAGGAGCCGGTTTCTGTTTCTGGTCTCCAGAATCACAGCACAGAGCGACTCTTACCTGGGAGGAGAAGAGCGAGCAGGAACCCCAGGAGAACCATGTTGGTCGTGTTCGGGACGCCCGGTCCAGTGGGCTCGGGGAAAGGGCGAGTACTGGACTAGTGAGGCGGGACGGGAACACTTGCAGCAGCTCCTCTTTGCGCGCCGCAGAAAGACGCGCAGCCGGCCGGCGGACACCGATCCGTGGGTCCGTTTATCCTCCGCCTGCAGCGGTCTGCTCCCTACGAAGTTCTCAATTCCCCAGATGGAGAGAAGGAGAAGCCTTGGAGGAATAGTCTCCAAGTGCACTCTGGAGAGACGGAGGCAGTTTCTGAGCGTGTGTGTGTGTGCGTGTGTGTGTGTGTGTGTGCCAAGACTCCAGCGATCCCACCGCGCTGCGCTGAGATATCTACCCGGCTGGGTGGAGGAAACGTCGGGCGTCACGGGCTGCAGCTCCGCTCACTGTCGGTCATCACGGCGCGGCTCCTTCCGTGGAGAGCTCCCGGTGCTTTCTGCGATCATGATGCTGACAGGCAGGGGGAGGCTGAGGTTATTAACTGGTGACATCCCTCCTTCCTCCTCCTCCCCACAGATCATCATCATCTTCACCTTCAGGGGCAGTCGGATGAAAACAGTGCCTCATTGAGGTCATTATAAGCGAGCAGTCTGACTGCACCAAGATTCAGGAAGTAATACCACAAACATAAGGTAATGAGTAGTTTCTCTAGAAACTAATATAGTTTCTCTGGATTCTAAGTTTGTTCCAATTCCTGCTCTGGGTTGAATGAAATCCTCTGGATCTTTGTGTCTTTCAGTTTTCTAAAACTTTTGCAGCTGAAATACCAAAGTGACCAAATTTATAGTAGACTACATTATATTATGCTGTTTAAAAAACCTGCAACAGACAGGTGACCTGTCCAGGGTGACCCCACCTCTCACCTGGAATGTTAGCTGGAGATGAGCACCACCACCTCCTGACCCCACTAGAGACAAGGATGTAATAAGATGGATGGATGGATGGATGGATGGATGGATGGATGGATGGATGGATGGATGGATGGATGGATGATGGATGGATGGATGGATGGATGGATGGATGGATGGATGGATGGATGGATGGATGGATGGATGGATGGATGGATGGATGTTTAAAAAACAAGACCAAAACAAACAACTGTAACCAAAACAAAAGGTTCACACCAACTATTTCATTGGACCTGCTCTAACTTTGATCAATGACGAATTTAAATACAGAAATACATTTAAATACAGAAATGATATGTTGGGCCACACACTGTAGACTGTTAGAAAAAGAAAACTATTTCAGAAAGGCACTTTGTTGTCCAGGCGTTGCAGCACCATTGGTGCTGATTTTCCTGATTTTAATTCTAACTCACATTCACTGCAGCCTTGTTCAGATAAGCTTTTGCTTCTGCCTGTCAGATTTATTTCCATCCACTGTTGCATTCATTTTTTCACTGAGGTCTTCTACTGATGATGGGAGAGTCTGACCACTGAGTGAAAATAAAAACTTTCTCCAGCACGTCCCAAAGACTCTCAGTGAGGTCAAAGTTTGGACTGTGTGGAGTCTGATCCGTGTTCCATGATGTTTCCCTGAAGGACTCTTAAACAATTTCAGTCTGATGAAGCTTGGCTTTGTCATTTATAATATCATTGTGTCATCAGGACAGAAAATAACCCAACAACCTGCTCTTCCAGCATCTTCAGGTAGTCAGCTGAACTTTGATCTGACTAACTGAAGCAACCCTCGATCACAGCACTGCCCCCTACAGGCAGTTACATATATACACTGGGCATGATGGGCGCAACACTTACTGCCTGTCATCTTACCCTGGTTTGCCCATCACTCTGGAAGAAGGTTAATCTGGACTCATCAGATCACATGACCTTCTTAGATCATTCTTGAGTCCAGTCTTTATGCTATTTTGTAATTGTACTTTTTTTTTCTGTGTAACTTCTGGCAGTGTGGGCCGGTACCAAGTCTGGAAAATCAAAGCAGCATCTCTGTTCAGCTGGTCAACAGAGGAAGTATGCAGTGTCTAGGTTCCTTTCCTCCTCAGCTAGTAAAATGCCTCTGATGTTGTCTCTGATCCAGCAGTACTTTGACATGGGAATGCCACATTTGTAGTCCAATGTCTCATATTCGTCTGTGTGTGGCTTTTCTGGAATGGTTTTCTTATTATTATTCTCTTAAGGCTGAAGTTCTTGTTGCTTTTCCTATCACACTTCATTCCATGCATGTTTCTGTGAATATGCTTGAATATAGAACTTTGAACAACCAGCTTCTTCAGCATTGACCTTTGTGTCTTCCTGTCTTTGTGAAGGGTGTCTGACTGTCTACTGTCCAGTCAGCTCTTAACAATGATCATGTAACAGACTGAACCAGAGTGAGAAAGTGTTTAAAAGTCCACAAAAACTTTGCAGAAGTTTTGAGTTCATTCGCTGATCAGGAGTTTCCACTAAAGACCTTTATAATTTTATAATTTTCTGAGACACTGATGTGGAATCTAATATCATCAAAATGAGCAGAAACAAAGACTGAGTATGTCACTCTGTGTGATGATTCTATATAATATACAAGTTTCACTTTTCTGAGCTGATTAGTAAGAAATGATGCACATTTAGACAATATTAATTTTTGTTATGTGTACTAGTATGGTTGGACATTAACCACAGAACACACACTGCAGTCAGAAGCTTTTATTCCCATCAACATTTTTAAGATGTAACTTTTTTATGCTTATGAGTCAAGAACATATGAAATATTTTCTGCTTTTCTAAGTATTGCTAAGAGTTGACCCATTTTAAACAGAGTAACCAATCATTTCTGCCCTGCTGGACGTTTACTGAAAAGGTGTCAATGGAAGAAAATATGACATTAAAAACATATTGAAAATATATATCACCTCATCTAAGCATATATTAATGAGTCATTGCTGACTGGAGCGAGTGAGTCACTAGTGGTGCTTGAGGCCACTTAAACCTCGCTGGATGATAACACAGCATATCATCCTCTGTCTTCTTCAGCTAACATTCATGCTGTTTGCTTCAGGTAATCCTCCTCTAACCATACCACACTAACCTGAGGGGCTTTACAGTCGCTCAGTGAGCTTTAGAAACGCTTTCACAGTCCTTGTCAGTTGGTTCTTGGATGTCGAATAATTCTAAGAAGGAATATCACAAAAATATACAAAAAATACTGGGAATAAGTCCTCAGGTATATGTGGTGATTTCGACTCTCCTGGATGGAAGGAGGAGGCAAAAACTATAAAAGGAAGTACATTTCAGAGGATTATGCTATATTATTGTAATAGGCCACTTTGCACCACATGCAGCTTTCAGTTATTTTGCCTCTGAAAGGCAGCGAGTTAAAAAGTGGGGTCATTTAGAGGGCTGCAGGGGCCCCACCTGTTAAACCACTGTAGCATCACTTTCATTTCATTTGTACATAAGACAATAACAGAATCATAAAGGACCCTAACTGCCTGCAGTGTCACAATGTTCCTGCAACACTGCATGGGTCTGATGGCTTTTTTGACATTTGACCAGCAAAGACACCATAAAACTGAGATAAACAGTCTGAATTTAACTCTACGAGTTATTCTACAGTTGATGTTTGTCTTCTTTCCGAATTTGTTTCATTTTTGGTTCTTCACAATAAAAAGTTAAACCTCTGCCACATTTCCTCCTTATAACACACAGCTATAGTGTTGATAGAGGATACATTCCCAGGAAATCATTTTGTACAGTCATTTATTGGCCAATAAAGGTTTTACTACACCAGCTGTTTAGTACGGCAGCATATTAGGGCCACTGTAAACAGAGGAACAAAAAGGAGTAAATATCTGACAAGAAACTCTGGAATTTGCTAGAAAAAAATCTGGAAGTGTCTGACTTTCAAAAGAGTTTTATTGAGCAAATGTTTGTTTCAAACTCAAATTTCAACCATTTTTACTAGAAAATTTCTCTCATTAATCTCCAAATTTCAGAATTTATTTCTTATAAATTTCTGCCATCGTAGTTTAGAACCGGCATCTTGTTGAAAAGTAAACCTACTGTGATTAAAGCAGTTGCTGTGCTTCACTGCACTATTATTGGCACCAATGGTAAAAAGTTCTTTAAATAAATTAAATGTGATTTAACATAACTGTAAAAGCTTAAAAACACCAATCAATGAAAGAAAGCTTTACTAAAATTTAAAAAAATATTTTGTACAGCATTATTGGTGCCACAATGGTTGTTGCTCATAGCAATTGTTCTAAAATAAGCAAGGTGTCATGGTCAGACATTAGCTGTAGGTCAGACATTGTGTTTGGGATTATTGCCCTGTTGTGTGTTCACACCAGCCCTGTTCAGTCCAATCTAATCAAACCCTTGTCCGTTTAACTATGACTGGATGATTTGGGGAGGTGTGAATGCATTATTAAACTCTGATATATAGACCAAAAAGTGAACTCTGGTTTTCTGACAAACCAAGGTCCTGGTTTGGTTGAAGTGAATTCTTGTGTGATTCAAATGCAGATGTGAACTCCTAGTGGACTGGAGATGTAGTGGTAAGGTAAGGTAATTTTATTTATATCATACATTTTCAGCAACCAGGCAATTAAATGTGCTTTACAACAATTAAAGAAAATACAAACAAAATAACAAAGAGAAAGCGAAAAGTACTCCATAATGTATAGTCTAATAGGAGTTTCTCTAGATAAACTAATAGTAAAGAAAAGTCCATCCATCCAGTTTTATCTGGGGTCAGGTCCTGGGGGCAGCAGCTTCAGTAGGGAGGCCCAGACTTTCCTCTCTCCAGCCTCTTCTTCCAGCTCTTCCAGGGATCTTATCAACATAAAGGAGCAGCGGCTCTACTCTGAGTCCCTATCGGATGACTGAGCTTCTCACCCTATCTCTAAGGGAGAGCCCAGCCACCCTGTGGAGAAAACTTATTTCAGTTGCTTGTATTGGTGATCTTGTTCTTTTTGGTCATGACCACTACACAAAAGGGTGGGAATGTAGATTGACCAGAAAATAAGCTGCCTCGATAATGGAGGCGAGGAACATGGTCCACTCAGACTCAATGTTCCCCACCTCCCCAGGAACATGTTCAAAGTTCTGCTGGAGTTGGGAGTTAAAGCTCCGTCTCACAGGGGATTCCACCAGATGTTCCCAACAGACAGGCATCCAACCCCACCATGGGAGCCAACTCACCACCAGGTAGTGGTCAGTAAACAGCTACGAACCTCTCTTCACCCGAGTGTCCAAGACATACAGCCCCAGATCCAATGAAACGATGACAAAGTCGATCATGGAACTGCGGTCTTGGGTGTCCTGGTGCCAAGTGCACATTTGGACACCCTGATGCCTGAACATGGTGTTCGTTAAGGACAATCCGTGACCAGAACAAAAGTCCAACATCAGATCGGGGGGAGCGTTCCTCCCAACCACGCCCCTCCAGGTCTCACTGTCATTGCCCATGTGA